CAGAGCAAACTGATCATCATTGCCATGGACGCAAGTTCCTTGATTCTTAAGGAAAGCTATGAATGGCCTAGCACAATTGCTGAGGACTTACAGGAGGATGTAAGTGAAGCACAATGAAGCATAATGAGGACAGGAGGTATCCTCTTATACATGCTTGAGCCCCAGGGGGAGCTCGGAGCAAACAATCCCATGGATAAGCAAAAGAAATCAGATGGATAACTTCCAGGTTGCCAAGAGACTACCCAGATGTGCTACCTATTTAGCAGCTCATTAACAAATAGAGATTAATTAGAAAAAGAGGTGTTTTTTTTCCACACTAAAGCCACCTAATAGATCTCACAGAAGACCAAACCCAAGGGGAGCATGAACTCTTCACGTGAAACACAATCCTAAAAGTATTCCTTGTACTCCATAGCCCACATACAGGTCCTAGCAGCCTGACAAGCCTCCTCCTAAAATCTAGAGGAGCACTTCTGCAGCCCCCAGCAGCACCCCCTGCATACTCCCTCTCTGACCAGAGCAGCATAACCAAGACTATCACATCCCTCCTTCCTCAGAGGTAAGCAGTAACAGCGATACCACCAACCACAAATACCCCACTAACAACTTAGACCAGATCCCACCCTCCAAAAAATCCTCACCTCATACACCAGCACAAGACTGCTCAGATCAACAGTTGCCATTTGTATTATCAAGCTAGTCACATAATTATTTTTTTGAAGTTATGTGAGTCAAGTCCCAAAAGTAAGGAGGCCTCCTTTGACTTACCCAAACCTTTCACCGTAGGAGATGTCAGGACTCCCTCCTGAATTATCACAACTCAGCTCAGACAACTCCTAGCAGGCACCCAGCGTCACTGAATTAGGCACTAATAAAGCATCATCTGCACTCACCTTTCCCAGGCTGCAGAAGCTTTCCTGATATCGACTAAACCTGCTAATGACCTCCTGCTAACGATGTCTGCCAATGACCCCTGGAGATATAAGCTAATGATATCTACAAACGAACTGCAATTGAACTGCATCTTCAGCTCATTAAAGGCTAAAGTCCACTAACTTTACTGCCCTTAAATAAGCATTGGTCTGCCTGCTTTCCTAGGTATTAGCAGGAGAACTTGCAGAACAAAAGCATTTTGCATAAGAAGGCAACAGGAGTTACCTGTAGATTAAACGTAAGGTTAGCCTTTCCCACCTACCTTGCTCTCCGGAAGTTCCTTAGGAGGTTCCTTACGTAAGGAAAACATCCCTGGATTTACCCAGGGAAAGAGAAGCCCCACTTTGATCTGTTTTTCTGTTTTCTATCAAACATGTCTTGTGAGATGCTTAGAGATGTCTCTCTTTGTATCAACTTAGATTATCTAACTGAGGATAATATCTTGTCAAAAAGTATATGGTGTTATCTGAACTTTACATGCAATCAGTAACAAATCTTGGACCATCACATGAAGGAAGCAGGACCTATATGGTGGTGAGGAATTGTTCTGATGGAGCCTTTTTTTTGTTAGTATTTAGCATTCTAGAGAGAACCCTTATGAACTATGATCAGACTTTTTAATCATTACAAGGAGAATTTATATTAAGACTGAAAGTCAGTGGAATAGTGAGAAGAGCCAATATAGTACTATTGAACTGAAAGCTTATCAAAAAGCTACCCCTAGTTTTGGAGGCATCATCTGCAGAGCTCAAGGAGCAGAAGCCTCCAAAATCAACTTCAGTGAGCAGAAGAATAAATCTGTTCTGCACAAGGTACCCACACTCTGAGAACCTGTGCTTTGCTAATCAATCAACAATCAGATGTGCAAGGACAAGGCTTTTATTTCCCTTTCTTCCTCCTTGCCACCAAACGTACAGCCTAACTGCGTAACTATTTAATTACAGCATTATAAGAAATGTTATTCATGGAAATATTATTTCAGTAAGAAAGGTCACTGAGATACATTCACAAGGTATCATAGGAAGAGGCTATTATGGAGAAAAATATAAAACAACAAAAACAAAACTTTAAAGTATTATAGAATTATTTAATTTTTATGAATTCACAGCATTAAAAACATCTGGAAATGAAAGTTTTCCTTGCACTTGTTCTCTAAGTTCTGCTTTTTTCATTGACTTTGCCCTGTGCTTTTCTAATCCTAATCAGCCGGGTGATTGAGACTCCTTCTTAACTTTCTCCTAACAAGAAAATGAGATTACAGGGGGCTCTATTCCCCAAAAACAAACATGGCTGGCTAGTCACATAGATAGGATATTAATAAAAAGGGAGCAGTGGTGTTTATTTGAAAGTGCATCAGGAGGTGGGAGGGAAGAAACCCAGAGAGCCCTGAAAACAGATATTTACTGTGCTTGCCTGACATAAACAATCCCGCAGCCCTGCCCTACACCACTATACAGCTAATATTGCTTGATTATCTATGTACCACCACAACCTCAGCCTCCCAAGATCTGAAATCGAGTTTTCTATTCTTAGCTCGTGGTAGTTTAAGCTCATTATGGAGGTGCCTGTGTTCCATAGCACAAGAGATAAAGGAAGCAATATAACTTTAATGAACAGCTGACAGAGCAACCACAGCAGGCTCTGTAGACAAAAGAAAAAAAAAAATCTTTTCTCAGATGTTGTCTTGATTTCTATCCCACAGGTTTAAATAGTTAGGGCTGTCTGTATGTTTTATGAAGATGTTCATATACACATACTTAATGGAAGCAAACACAGTATGTTATAATATAATTATAATAAGAGCAGGTAGCCTGGAAGGTACAAACACCCAAATTATGGAACAGAGAGAAAAGAAAGGTATTAATCTAGATCCAGGATAAATAATGGTAAATCATTTAAAATATTACTTAGCTTAAACTAGGAAGCCATAGAGGTTTCCTTTTACATAAATAAATGTCTTAAGTGTCTCACATAGAGTGAAGAAAATGGATGGATGCAGATGTAACTGCCAGAAGCAATAAGTGGAGGAATAACTGCAAAGCACTCTGCATTCTTTCTGATAAATGTTTGTATGCCCCAGCGTATTGATTGGGTGTTGCTTTTCTTTCACTGCCGTTCATTAAGGTCCTAATTAAATCATGTGGCCAAATCCTGCAGCCCCTCAGAGGCAATGGTTGCAATTGCTAAGCAAAGAGTTCAAGGAGAATATGAGGTAGGCAGAAAGTGCATGTTTGGAGCTACAGATCAAGAGAAACATCATCTTCTGGCAATGATGCCAACCCAAACTAACACCTTACAAAAAGATCATATGGATCCCACCTGCATCCAGGGCTCCTCCTGCTGTAAGCTGCAGAAAAGCATTCACCTCCGGCATATGAATTCCCATCTTATAAAATACTCACACAAACATGTTCAGGAGCTAGTGCAAATAGCCAAAATTTGGTCTGTGTTTAAATAACATTGGAAATTATGTTGTCCAGTAGCTTCAAAACAAAACAGTTTTTCATTTACTTATTTTTCCATAAAACAATATTTTTTTCTGTGTTTCTCACATAGTTCTCAGTTTAGCTTTAGCACACGCTCCTCATTCTTTCCAATGAGGAAAACAAAAAGGAAGGGTGAGAAAACAACTCCTTAGGATAAAGGAAAGAAAAAAAATCAACATTTCATCTACTGGGTTTATGATTTCAAAGTAAAAGGAATATCATTTTGAAGATATCTCTCTGAAGAAAACTATAACATTGGTACATAATTAAAATTCAGAAAGTGTTTAAACATAATATTGTAGCAGCTTAAAACCTTCTGCCAACAACTACCTATGGAACAGCTCTGAACATCTCTGCCTGGTCAGAAAGTGTCCTGGTTAAATTGGTGGGAAACATTTCCCATTTCATTTGAGAGAAGGACTGCCATGTGATAGTAAATAGATAACTAATTTTGTAGCATCTGGTAATTATCAGAGCACAAATTTGGAGTGCATTTATTATCAGTCAGGTAACAAAATTATCTAATTATTTAACTGTATATAATGAAAATAATATAATTATCTAATTGTATAAAATCAGGTATTTAAATTAATTTCAACATATTTCTGGACAATAGTATGCTAGAGGCAGTAAAGTCTCATCATTTGTCTGAAGTGTTTTCTGTTCTTCCTTTTAAATATCTGAGACAAACATTCTCCAGAATGACAACAAAGTTGTTTTTGAAATCTCCTGCTCTGTGTTGGAAAAGTTACAATGCCAGCTATTCTGTTCACTCACATTCCTTATCTGAGTAGGGAATTTCAGGGGTGTCGGTAGAAATACTGGCTTAGTCCACAAAGACTTAGGTTAACATACTGAGGATGACACCTGAAGACTTTTCAAAGAGCTGACATTAACTTTTTAGAACTGTATTTTCTTCTGTCTAGACTGACATTGAAGATTCAGTTGGGGAAGGGAGAGGAATAGGGTAAAAAACAGCAAGAAAATTATAACAGAATCCAGTTTATCATTTTGGCCTAGCCAATAAGACTTTCCTTATCATCTGCAGCACTAAGCATAATTCCAAAGGCTTTATTTCTGCCATTCTGTGAATTGAGACAATGAGATGAACCCATAAAAACAAAAGTGTGGACAGTCTTCTTTCATTACCTGTCATCCACTCAGTGCTCTGATATCTGAGAAACACAAAAAACTATTTCCACATAATAGAAGAGATGTAAACTTCATTCTCTGGTACATGACCTGGACATTGCTGTGTTTGGCATTGGATAGTTTTCCAGGGAGCTGCTGTGCAGCTGTTGCACTGCAGGAATGGGTATATATTGTTGTTCGCCAACCCATCTCTCCTCCCCCCCTTTATTTCAACTCTGGAGAAAGTCAGAGGATACCAGCAAGAACAAGAGTGACCACACTGCTTGGTTCTTTTAGCCTCCTAGGAAGAGCTCTGTCATACCTACTGCAGAAGGACAATCTTTAACACTGCTTACAAATACAGCAGCCAAAGATAGTAGAGGTTACAAGCAGTGTATGGAAGGAATACAAGCAGGAATGCAGAGATAAAAGACAGATGCAGGAACCTACCGTGATTCTCATGCGCTGGTCCAAAAGAGAGATCCTGAGCTGCTGAATTCCTCTATTTCAGAAAGTGATCTGATGGAAGAGCTTTTCTTCAGTATCAGTTACAGCACAAGTCTGCTTCATATTGCTGTACCTTTGCTTTCAAGTTTTCAGAGATATTCATCTCAGGGGTTTTCCTTTGTCCTTGAGACACAGTCAGGCCCTGGCTGGACAGTCAGTTCAGGCAAAGCTTGTGAAAGTTTTCTTCTTTGAACAGGAATGAAGGACAAATCAGTTGATTTCTTACTTTCTCTTTGGGTTAGAGATTTCCTGATAAGACCATCACAGTAATAAGAGCTTGCACACGGATGACTCAGCCCTGCACTGGAGTCACTCATTGCTTTGGTCAAATGTGTTCACAAATAACCTTGCAGAGGTACATGGTGAATTTGCTCCAACTCAGTCCTTGATCCCACTCTATGCTTACTCACACAAATGAGGAAAAATCTAGATACAGGTAAGAACAGAATCCAAGTTCCTCTTCATGGCCCAGCTCAAATCTCATGCTCCCAAGCAAATTCACATTTGATTTTTTCTGAGTATTAGTGTGTCTGGTCCAAATTTTGTGCCTTCCCCTTAAAGTAACCTCTGTTGGGGTAATCAGACTGCATTTGCAAGCCATAAGGAAGGTCAGTGACACATACTTAAAAAGCTATTTTTGAATGTCTGGCTCCAGACTTTTATCTCTTGAAATTCCCTTCATGGCTTTCTATGGCTCCAATCAAACTCCCATCGATTTCCTCAAGAATTGTATTGAGACTTCTGTGGTGCCTGCCAAAATAAAAAAGCAGAATGTAGTCAAATGTATGCATTCAGGGGAGATTCAATAAAACCTGTTTAGATGAAAATGTGGTTCTACTCCGAAGATTGTGTCTGTCAGTTGGATTGTACCTTTCCGTGGTTGACTCTTAATCACTTTCTTATCATCAATGCCAAGTTTAATATCTTAAAATTTGGATTTTTTTTCCTGAGTTATAGTTCTCCAAAATCAATCTGGGATTAGGACAGGAAGCTTGGTCTTGTGGTTGAGACAACAGAGTAGCATTCACTTCCATTTCTGCCACAGACACCCACCACTACCTTCCACAAGTATATCGAGGGAGTGACTTTCAAAGGCATTCTGTTTTGGCCTGACTCTGCTCCCTAAGAAGCAGGTCAGGTCTAATAGCCTCAATCTTTATTGAGTTCTCTGGAATGACATCAGGCTGGGAAAGGAGCAAGGATACACCATAACTGCTATTCTATTCCCAACTTTATCAAGCCAAGGAAGTTTATAAACATAAGAATTGAGCTTGTTAGTTCTTTGATGGCTATGTGGCCTGAATTTCTTACAGTATGTTATTTAATAAACCATCATCATACTGAAATCAAATAAATAATTCAGTCTGATCTAAAAATATAATCTAGCTCATACGTTTCCTTCTACACTGGGAGTAAAAAATGCTTTTTCTCATAATATGATGAAATACACAGCTGCTAAATAAGTTCCAATTTTCCAGACATACATGCATTTTAGTATAATATTAAGAAGAAAATATACCCTAACTATATCCAGCAGTAATTTAAGATATGACTTTGGGCAAATCACTGCTCTTCTTAGCAAATCCATTTTCTTCCTTCCCTCTTTCCCAGTTTCATCCAGATAGCTGCAAGCACTCTGGGGTAGTGACTGCCTTTCCCTTATTGTTCCTGCCAGGCTTCCCAGTGTGGTCCCTCATCTTGAAATGAGTTTCCAGATGCAATTGTGATGCAAACAAAGGATGTATTCTACATAAAGCAATTAAAGGAAAATCTAATATCTGGAAATATTTCTACTTGCCTGAGAGTATCATGGACACTAAAAAAAAATGGACTTACTTCTGTTATAACCAACTTGGAGGAAATCCATTTAAAAAAATGTGATGTCCTTTTCTGTTTTAAGTTTACTAAGAATTGGAACTAAACACATGCCTCATGAAGAAATCCCTTTCTCCCTCCAGCTATCACACTGAACTGAAATAAAACAGATGTGCTCAAACAAAAAAAATCTGTGCTTACTTGTTATGTTTTTCCTCACCCTTATTACCAACACATATGATTTGCACCAATAAAGGTAAAAGCAAGGAAGCAACGAGTATTCTTCAGAAGTTTCCCATTGCTTTATTCTGCCAGTACCTGCTGTGATTCCATTCCTATAAGTAATGGGTTTCTCGTGTTATATTGTCGGATCCCAACTGCATAAAAGGCAAACTCAAAACTCAGGCATTCTTAAGAGATTAAAAACCAACAACAACAAAAATAACCAACACTAAAAACCCTAAGATCCCCTAAAAAACCAAAACCCCCAAATCAAATACAAAAACATACAAATTCACATAGAGATGAATATTTATTGCATGAAGACAAAAAAATGCACTCCTTAAAAAAAATACCTGTTTTGATACAGATATATAAAGTACTGTTTAAAGCTTCATTCAAATACCCTTTCAGAAATAAGTTTTCAGGATGGAGTTTCATAGTTTCACCGTTACATTAAGAAAAATAAGTTGTTTGTAGAACACTACACAGTTCATAAGTTACCAGTTATAAACTAATCCTTGATATCCAGTCCAAATCCTAAGGGAGGCTTCAAGGCAGCCACTTCTTTTTGGCAATACAGTGATGAAAGATATATTGCTGAAAACCATAAAGCCTTGGGAAAAAATTTAGCAAACTATCTAAGCAGGAATGAAATGTTGAGAGCTTGGCTCATCAGCTGGAGCTTTCTGGAGAAGGAAGAGCTACATATATTTTTGTACAGGTTAACTATGTAGTCTTGAAAACAAAGAAAAATGCTGCATGCAAAGTGTTTTAAAATCTTCTTGTCTTTCACGGGGTGTTGCTTTCCAGCGGTGTGAGAGTAAGAATTAGGAATAAAAGAAAAGCAAACTGCCTTTTTAAAGTTGTTTGTGGACGCTATTTTTTCAAGTGAAGGTTGCATTCAGAAAACATGTGCTTACAGATTTCCAGGAATTTCATTAGAGGAGGTCACCAGTAGCTGGAAAAATGATACACAAAGAATATGTATGTGACACTGTGCTCACTGCCCCTCACAGCACTAATCTATGCCAGTGAACACAGAGGAAGTTTGCTCTTCCAGAGCACAGAGGATTGCACTAGAACAAGCTGCCACTTCCCTCATTTCTTATCAAGGCAGATCTCTGGACAAAATAAAGCCTGCAGGATTTAGTGATGCAGCAAGTTGCTCCCTCAGCATCAACTGTAGAAAAGCCATAGCATTTTAATGAGAACATTTCATTGTATGTGGCTTCATCACAAGTCATTTTATAAACCAGTAAGGCTCTCCCAGACATAAAGGACAATAGTAAACAAGGTTTTCTAAATCTTTTGTACTAGATGAAGAAGGCTTAATTACCATCTCTGATGTTAGGAAAGTAACTCCTTGAAAAGTCCCATTTCATACAGTCGAGGCCACAGATTCAGTAGGACCTGAGTCAGCTTGTGCCTCTTATTTTTCCCAAACCTTTGTGCATCCATTTAGTGGCACCACAAAGCCCTGGTGCCCAGTGGTTTGTCCTGCAGCAGAGGGGCAGCAGTGGTATTGGCACTAATGCAGTGTCTGGTACATGGTGCAGTGTCTGTACCTCCAGTGCGGCCCTTAGGTGTGCTGGGATCTCCTTGCCTGGTCATGTCCCACCATGGAAAAGGCTAACTGCAGCTGGCTGAGCTGGGACCTTATTTCTGCGCAGAACAAGCCAAACTGATGTGCTCTTCATGAGGATGTCCTCACTGTGGCTGTGTTATAATACAAAATGGCCAGATAACCGAGACTCATGCTTTGGCTTCAAATATAAACATTGGAAGTGACATGATAATTTTGTCATGTCAGCACCTCAGCTGGGCATCAGAAGAAACCAAAATCCTGAAACTGTGCAGCTTCAGAAGCTGGAGATCCTGGAGAGAGATCTAAAGTTTATAGCAGAATGGGTTGTGTACACAACTTACTTATACAAGATGATTTATTTTTAATTTCAGACTAATTCTTGGAAAGCCTTCAGAAAGCATTTGATATTTTTGGCAAAATCCTGGTCCCACTGAAGTCAATAACAAATAGCCCATGACTTCAATGAGACCATGTTTTAAGGCTTTATTCCTCTCATCTCAATACAATAGCACTTCTAACAATTGCAGTAACAACTTCTGGTTGCAATGTCTCTGAAAGGAGACATTATTAACAGAAGAATCTTCTTAGTGGGTTCATCAAATGATTGTGCTGAAGAAAGTTTGATATTATTCAGTGGCCACATACTTCTGAAGGCATACTCAGTGGCAGTTGGAAGCATGTGTTTTTCATAAATTTCTCATTCAGAAACAAAGACTGACAGTAAAACCCCAAAGCTTTGATATTTATTTAAATTGCTAAATGGTTGCACTGGAGAGTACATTTCAATTAATGTGTCACAGTGCATCACAGTTGTTTTAAAGTTTGCCGACTCAACTGACTCTTTAGGTCCATCTAAGTAGTTGAGGTTTGCTCTAAGTTTCTTAGATAGAAAACAGTTTGCTTCAGTGAGTGCTCTCCTACTAGTCAAGATATTTTTTAGGTCAAAGTGAACTTGGATCCAGAATACACTATAACATTAGCATTATTTCCACCCTATTACCTATCTCAAAGCTATGCTATAATTCCTTCTTGGGTTTTATGTTAGCACTATATTCCAGTAAAGCCCTTTCGTAAGAATTTATAGAGATTATCTACTAACCAAACACAACTTTGCCCATTTGTGCATTACCTCTTTTGTTTCTTATGTACTCTGCTGCCGCCTCTAGGACAACATTATAAAAATTGATTTTGCTCTATGGCAAGAGGTGAAAGTTACTTCCATACCTCAAGTAATACTGTTGGAGAAATATGAGACAATCCTCTCTGCACTTTCTGTTAATTTTGAAAACTCAAATGAAAAATGGAGAGCAAATATGTTCAGTTAATGAAAATCAGATCTTCCCAGCAAAGACACAACAATTTCAATTCATTGCCTTTTCTAGGTTTTT